ATATATCAGTTTCCTATTCTTAGCATTGAGATTTTCATTTCTAAATAGCGGTTGGAGGTAATGAAGAATTTTGGCGCAGCTAATTCTTTTCAGTTGAACATGTTTAAGCCATGTGAATCGTTTGTCCAACGTGATGCCGAGATATTTAACGCTATCCTCCCAGTTTATCACCATATCACCCACTCTCACTCTTGACGGATTCTGTCTCCACTTACGCGTTATAAACAGAGCCTTAGTTTTAATTTTTAAGCATTGAATTTTGAAATGTCTGTGGAGATGAGTTTAAAATTCGTAGAATTGGTTTCTCAAATCTCACGATTGTTGATGACATGGAAAATATTGTACTAGTGTACCTATTTAGGATATATTAAATGTCTGAATAAAGTTACTTTATTGCTTTAGGAACTGATATTTTTTAAATAGTATTTTTCAATAACATATTATTATTCCATTATTTAATAAAACCATAACAATTGTTTATATAATAATTTATATAACTCAATCCTTGCGATTTTTTACAAATGTTGTAATTACATGGTTATTTGTATTTCGTTGGAATAAGAAAATGTTTTCGCACATTAATCTATAAGTTTATGTGTAAGTAAGTAAATTTATATCATTTTATCTGCTAAGTTTGGAAGTTCAGTATTAAAGTTTACATATCCGAACTATTGAAGTGTACAGGTAATTGCTAGGCAATAGTAAATTTGCTGTGCAGATGCACGTAAACGATAAACGCCAATAAATTATTGTGTTTTTCTACAATATCTTTGCACATAAAAGACAACTATTTTCCATGTAAACATGATCATTTAACAACTCAACTGCTTGTAAGAATAATTTACAAGAATTTAAGGATTTATTCAACTGAAAATTTATTGGGCACAAAACAACAGAGAGAATACTTCGAACTGACAGAGTCGTAGTGTAACAGGAACATCCGAGGATGATATTTACGTGCCAAATTTGCTATGGAGTTTCAACATTTTTGTAGGTACATTGGAGTCATTTTCTTTATGTAAGAGTAATACAATTTGTACAATTGTTACCTTATCCGCACTTTGTTAAAATAATTTATGCATAATTTATCAATAATTTAATTGAGAAAAATTTTGTATTTTTTTTTTGCATGAATTCCAGTTTGTGACAAAATTTCATAAATTCTTGTTATCCAAACCCAAACCCAAACCCAAATCCAAATACAAATATTTTTCCATAAATCATAAAACATAAAATTTATTGTTTGCGTAAGTCTCGTACATACCTACGTCTATATGTCATATACATACATACGAGTATATACTACTATATTTTGTTTTCAAAATAACATAATAACACATATATTATTGTTTGAGCAAATTAAAATGTAAAATGTTTTTAAATAGTAGACGAGTCAATATTTAATAAAACATCAAATATATCAAACCTCACTAAACAAATGTTAATCATTTCTGCTGGCATGTAAACTTTATTTACCTAACTTTTATGTATTTACCTATGAATTGCAGCATAAAATACTAATTTAGTTGAAGCAACTAATTTAGTGGCGGCAGTATTTGCTGCTATCAAGCTTTGAGTTATGTCAGAAATTTCCGAATAAACCATGCTGTGCATGACCTTTCTTCCTATCGAATCGTAAATAAACAGGAAAAAATTACCGAATCAATTGCCTCGAATAATTTGACTATCTCAATTTGGTTTTCACAAATATTAGCAAAATGTCTGTCTATTTGCTCAGATAAACACGGGAGCAAACACACGCTCGCACACATGCAGGATGATGTGTTTGCAGATAAATAAAATTATGTACGCCTATCCGGCACCCAAACACAGCACAGTAAACAAAAGCTTAATGACAGCCTCATCCCTGGGATGATGACTATTAAAGCAGCAAGTTTAAGTGTTGTTATAACGATTATGACTACACAGTTACGGAGTTGTTTTAGTTGTGTTAATTGTGTCAGCGGTTGTGTAAGTGGTTCTAGTTGTAGTTCCTGGAAATGGATATACTCCTACATAGTTGCAATTTTTAGGTTTTGTTTCAAATACTTTAAAGTTGTGATAAAAAAATATAAATTTGAAGTACTAAGAGGTTATCTTGGTAGTAATTACTTTGAGAGCAAATATTTTGAAAAAAAAACTATTTTAATAACCAGCAGCACATTCAGTAAATGGGAGGGAGAATAAAGGTTATAGATTCCTCGCTTCACAATATATATATATATTAAAAAGATGATAAAAACTACACCATTCTGTTATATTTGTCTTTTATTTTTATACATCATTTACACTAGCTGGACTTTTACTTAGAGACTTGAAAAATTTTTCCTTCAAACTAAAATAAGCTTAAATTCGAAAACGAATTTCGAAAGTAATACCATCAAACTTAAGAATCTTGCTAAAGTCTAGCCAGTGTAAACGCTTAACTAATATTTCTTAAAATGTCGTTAATAATTTGTTGCAAATATTGCAATAACTTATCAATATTCAAAAATAGCTATTAAAAAATGCTATAGAAGGTTTTTTCTTTTGTAAACATAACGCAAAAGAACAACATAAAATAAGCACTACTTCTGTGGCAACTCTGGAGGAACCGAAAATTATGTTAGCCTTATATATGCAAAAGACGTGATAAAATATAAGGTTAGAATTTCGAAAAGGAATAATTATTATTTGCAATTATGTGTAAGAATATTTTATTTTTTACATGACTATAAATAATAATTGTATTTTCTTCTTGATTCTTGATTCTTCTTCTTCTTGAGTTAGTGCTATTACGCACTTTTACTCTATAATGGCTGGGGGGTTTATATCTACCCCACACTAGGCTTTAACTAGGCTAAAAAAAACATATAATTTATTTTTCTTTTAGTAGATGACGGACCTTAAGTCCAGAAGTGGACTTGAGGATTGTTATGGCGGGGTTAATTAGAGTATTTTCAGACTTTTTCAAGAATTGGCTATAATTTTTTAAATTTAGTTTTATTTGTCAAATATTTGTTGACAGTTAATTGAAAATTTTGTACATACTTCTAAAAATCAATCACATTAGACAAATTTTTAATCTTGGCAACCATGCGATTTGAGCTGCTTATTAGTTAAGGGATTTCAAAAAAGTTGGACTAAATAAGCCAGCAGTGTTGTTGTTTTATATTATTTTTAAGATAAGCTGTTCTTTTGTGATATGTTTACAAAAGAAGAGGCCCAGATTTATATTGCATTCGTACGAGAATTTTGTTTGTAACTTTATCTGTCAACAATTTTAAACTGATATCTGAAATCAAAAAGCAAAAATGTCCATTCACACGAAAAATGATTGTAGTTAGATTTATCATATATTCACACTTTTTAACGACTTTTACAAAATATTTACATATGATACACACGCATGATAAATGTTTTCCATATATGATATATACATATGATAAATAACAGTTTTGTTTTATTTTGTATAAAAATTTCATTAATTCCTCTAAGCTATGCACAATAACAAGAGTGTGTACTGGCCAACACTGTACTACAGTGAACTGTTCCAGTTAGAATCAATTTGATTTTATCGAAATCATGAACCAATTCTGTTTTCAGCAATCAAAATTTCAATACAAATCTACCAGATTTAGACCTTATTTGCTGTCGAAATCAAGAATAATTTGATGTGACAACTAAAATTACAATTCACACTCTCTTGTCAATCCAGTATTAGTTGTAGTTTTTGAGTAAAAATTGTATTCATACATATAAATTTTATAAATAATACTAATAATAAATAATCATAATAAATAATAATAATAAATAATAATAATAAATAATAATAATAAATAATAATTTAATAAATAATTGCGTGCACTGCAAAAAAGCTTCGGTAAAAAATATTTTACCTTCTGACCCAACTCTCTAATCCTTATTCTAATCCATTGAATGAATCCATTAATCCATTAAAGACAAATTTCACAAATTTTTTAGTATAATCCTATACACACCTAAGTATCCCCTGGTCCTCATCCATATTCTTATCAATATTATAAATGCGCCCCTGCTTATAACACAAAATCTATAAATTTTGTTAAAATTTTGAACACGTGAATGGTATATTCGGTATTCTTGCATGATTCGAATGATATCTTTAAAGGTTGTATACTCATACAAGGCTTTCATGTACTTGGAAAGCCTTGTGTGAGTGCTTAACTTAACGTTTAACACTGATTTGACCGTTACAGATAAGAACAAAATAGATAGTTAATATTTTTATTTAATTTGTAACTTTTAATTTGATTTTATTTTAATTTTATTTTTGTATATTTCTAATACTTATGTGTTTGTTCATTTTTATAGAAACTTTAACGCCATTAACTATACATAAGTGAGTACGTCCAGCACTCTGCTCACAGACCTCATCCAAGCCATACGTTTTAAACCTCACGCTTTGATTCGTCAAGCGGGATTGAATTGTACTCATCACGCCACTCTACACCCGGGCCTCTCATGACCCCGGTCACAGAATCTACCACTAGTGCAACAGTCGGGCTAGTGCAGTAACCCCTGTACTTATTCCTCTTTTAACTGCGCTACGCCCGATCTTTCGGACTTAGATAAACCTAGATCACTAGGTTTTAAGCCTCTTTATCATACCTCTCTTTCTTAATTACTGGAATGAAGTTGCCACATTGCTATAGAAATCTTCTCCACTCATTCCTAAGAGGTAATTTTAATGTGTTCAAGTCTGACACTATGGCTTTTGATGTTTCCTACCTACTGCTACCGAAGTGAGTTACATTCATTTGAAAGGTGGCTTAAAGTAAACAAAGGGAACAGTCATAATGAATAGACTATAAATAATTAAAAATTTAAATGTGTCTCCACATAGGAATAAAATGAGAATCAACTTTTTGTTTGGCTTAAATGTTAAAAATATTTCATATATATGTCAAAATTTCAAATAAATAAATATATATAATAACAAGTTAAACATTTCTTATTAAAAATAGTTTTGTTTAAATTAATATTTAAATTTTTGTTTCTGGCCATCTTTAGCAATCCTTATGAAATTTTGACATGTCTACTTCAGTGTTTCGAAAGTATCTCGAAGATTTTGAAGTTCCTTTAGAGAGACTTCATTCGTTTTATTTGTATTTCGCAGGTGAACTAAAGCGAAGTCTTAGTAAAAATTTATTTCACTTGTCGGACTTGATGTGCATTCCGACAGCAATCACATCCCTACCACAGGGTTATGAACGAGGAAGATCTTTGACAATTGTTATAAATGAGACACAGGTTAGGGTGTCACTTGTTGTATTAATGTCCTATGGCGATCATAAGGAAGTCACTGAAGTTTATGAATTACCTGATAAATATACGCGTTGCTCGTTACAGAAACTGCTCACATACGTTGCATTTTGCCTCGAAAGTTTTCTTTATGATATAACAAGTCTACCACAAACAGAAATACCGCTTGGAGTCATATTTCCATTACCATGTTATTACAGATCATTGAGTGGGGTTCAGGTTATAAAGAACTTTGGAAAATTTAATCTTAGATTCAAGCCTTACGTTGACGTTGGGTTATTGCTTGAGAAAACTATCGACAAACTGCAAACAATTAAAATTGGTAAGATTTCTATGATGAATGACGCTACAAATGCGGCATTCCTCGGTGCTTATAATGCAAAAAATGTGAGAATCGGACTTCACAATGGAGATTATTGCAATGCTTGCTATTTTGAAGCACTAAAATGCGTAGAGCGCGCTGACACTGAATACAAAAGGAAAAGTAATATGTTAATAAATATAGAATGGGGTGCACTCGGTGAAAAAGGATACTTAGAATATTTCTTTAACAAACATGATATATATATAGATGAAATGAGCTCTAATAGAGGCAAGCAATTATTTAACAAGCTGGTTTCAGGTAATAGTAGTCATAATTATAAAAACATTCCTTATTCAAAATATGCTCTTATCGTAAAGGAAAATACATAATTGAGATGTGGCGTGTAGTACTGACAGATACAATGATCAAGGGTCTCATATTTAAAAAAAATTATGATAAAGTCAAAATAATTGATGCTATATCATATAAAAACGCATTGACTTTACAATTGATGGGCTATCTTGAGAGGTGCGGCATGAGTAATATTAAACATCTTTTAGATAAGTTCGAAGCACGACAAATATCCTATGATGATTTATGTGCGTTGAAAGGTATCTGCTCAGTCATTATTAAACGAGCTGCTTATATAGTTGCAGTTCCATTAAGTGTTCTAGTAAACAAGATCGCCGAAGCAAACATTACCATAGCTGTCGATGGTGATGTATTCAGAGAAGTCAAAAGTTATGAGAAACATTTGCGTAAGGTAATGGACTATTTTGTGTGTCCCAAAATCTCCTATGAGTTTGTATGCGTTGATGGCAACACTGCATGTGGTCCAGCGTTACTCGGTGATTATGGTAAATGGAAGGCAACCATAAGATAAACTGAACTATGATGAATGATGATATCTTCACTGCATTACACCAAGTTCATCAATAAAATACAGAAAATCGTTGATTATTTTTAAAATAAATTGTGGAAATATATTATTCACCTCATTTGATTTTAAGTATTTCCGTAATATTGTTCTATTGTTGTAAAATCACAGTTTCTAATAAGAAAAGAGCGGCCGTAGAAAATGCCATGTCAAAAATATTTGAAGAATGCATAAATGTAATAAATTTGCTTCAGTAAACAAATCCATAAAAAAATGATTGCGTTTCACTACTGATTTCTGACATTAACAAGTAATATTAGAGCAAATTGTTGTCCTTTTAGTACTGTACTTATTTCAAACTATTGAAATATAATTACTTTCATTCATTTAAAAGATTAATACTAACTGAGCACTACAATATTGTAAGACTAATAAAATTACGAAGAATACGTAGAGTATGACATGTTGCAAGAATGAACAATGATAAAACGACAAAGAAAGTTTTGCATTCGGAACGTAATAAATCGGGAAAGACAAGATGAAGATCATAAATAACACATCTTTCAATATACGCGTTACTGACACACAGATGGCGCTGCCATTGTCAAATCCATATGACGTTTTGAAGTACGAACCTTCAAAAGACTATGTGTAAAATTTCATGACATTTCGATTAGTCAGGAAAAAGTGACAGTCATTTAAATGAAGCTACTTTTGTTATTTTCAAAACAATGGATTCAAAACAATTTCCTGTGTTAATTTATTATTGCTTCTTGATAAAAAAAAAATACTGTACAAGCTCAGCAATGGCTTTAAAACTGTTATCTGCTGCTCCATCTAAAAAAACCATTTGTTATTGGTTTACTGAATTTAAACGTGGTGGTACAGACACCGATGATGATGAACGTTCTGGTCGTCCAAATGAGATGGTTACTCCAGAAAACATCAAAAAAGTCTAGAAATTGGTTGTATCTGATCGTAAATTGAAATTGCGTGAGATAGCTGAGACCGTTAAGGTATCAGAAGGCAGTGTGTTTACAATTATTCACAAACATTTGACCATGAGAAAGCTCTTTTCAAAGTATGTGCCGCGTTTACTCACAGCCCATCAAAAACAATGCGTTGATCATTGAGAGGAGTTTTTGGCCATGTTTACACTTAACATAATAAATCAGATTTTTTGCTTCGAGTGGACTGCAGCCGGTGAACCACTTCCGAAGCGTCTAAAGGCACAACAGTCAGCTGGGAAGGTTATGGCTTCATTATTTTGGGATGCACATGGAATAATCTTCATTGACTATCTCGAAAAGGGAAAAACCATCAATAGTAACTACTACACGGCATTATTGGATCGTTTGAAAGCAAAAATTGTGAAACAACGTTAAGGACCGCTTATGGCGAAGAAAAAAATTAGAGTTTTAAAAGCCATGACAGCAAGCTTATTGGCCTGTATGAAGGGGCAATATGATCAAGGATGTGTTCCACTCTGTTGGGTAAAAGCCCAATTTAATAATGGCATTAAAAAATCTTGTGATAAAATCATGTGGGTGCGATTTTAACATATCCCGGTGCCTTTTGCAAAATAGCTTGTTGGTTATTATTTGAACCAGATCATTGGCCGTAATTTTCATGTTAATAGACGGTACATATAGTCGCTGAGTGGGAAACTCATGATTTCCTGTTGCAGGATTTGGATGGAACATATCTTTTGGGTGATCAGCATATGCGTTAGATTTTTCTTCATCGTAACGCTCTCAGTTTCCGAAACAGTTTCTTATTGCAGTCGCCTTTGGGCATCCTTGAATAAGGTTTTCGCCACAGGGGACCTACATTTTTGCCATTCGCGCCTTAATCTACGTTTTTGTAAAACTAGATTATCTATGTCACTATTTGTAAGTACTTTATTGGAGATGTAAGTCTTAATATCCTTAGGGGTGGAATTTTCTGCTGTATAAAACAGAATTGAGTTTAAAACCGAGATCCTTAATATGAGACTTGCACTTTGTTTTGTAGTTTGTATGTATGTGTGAACTAATGTACTTTTTATATTTTAGCCAGTTCATTCTGGTACTTGTTAGGCTATAGGAACAGTCATATAAATAAGGACCATCAAGTAAGCCAAATGTAACTGGAGAATGGCCAGAAGACAAATCGCAGCTTGTAAATGATGAGATAAAATTTCTGCTTACGTCTTTGGTTACGACAGAGTCCATTAGGTCTGGTATTTTATTATTATCGGCAGGCCAATATGTTGGCTGCCCAGAAGAGATTACGTCTAGTGCATTTTGAAATTTACTAAAATAATAGCTATCTCTGTCAGCACTTTTTTGTTTTGTTTATATACCCAATACCGCACTGTTATTATGTTTGAATGTTTACTCACTTTTTTTTTTGAACTTTAAACATTAATCTGCTGTCTTTATCAGCTGTTTGAGCTCCTTGCAAATTAATATTTTGTGCACTTTTATCTTTTTGTAATTGTTTTTTGTTCAAAAAGGTTCCTTTTTGTGTGTTTGTATTAATAACAAAATGCAAGTGCAAGATTTCCAGACAGAAAAAATTAAAAACAAATTGAAAGACTCACATACGAGACTAATAAGGAGGAACTTGCTAAAGAAACAGATTGGATTTTGAAGAAAAAGCCAAGCAAAAAGCGTAAAGCCGTACGAACATTGGAGATAGGCAACTACAGAGCTGTTACAAAAGTGCTGTCTTCAAAAAAAGCGGCCTGGTATTCGTACGGAAACAAGTATCTCCGGCCATTAAAGGTTATTGCAAAAAATTTTCCTCATTCATGTGACCCAGTCGATATTGTATTCGATTCGAAACAGAAAGGTTTTAATATCGTGAACGCGGTCAACAAGTGGAAATCATGTTTTGTTAAAATTGAACCAATGAAGCACTCAAAAGAAATACCACAGTGTAAAATATGCCAAGCATATTGTCACACAGAAAATTATTGCGGCAAATCAGTTCGGAGTGTTAAATGTGCTAGAAGTCACAGTACTGCAAAATGCAACAAACCTGATCACCACTAACCAATATGTTGCAACTGCGGTGAGGGACACCCGGCTAATTCTAGAGGTTGTATACTACCGAAAGAACTTCAAAAATTGAGAAACAAAAAAATTGCTGAACTAAACAAAGGTAGACACCTGGAAACCTGGAAAGCTGGAAACCAATCTGAAAATAATCAAACTGATGTTCTGAATAAAAACCCAAAATCGCTGAATAATAAAAATACATATTCGGAACACTGAGGGCGATGGAAATTGCAAAACACTAACTAAGAAAAAATCACCACTCAAGAAAACTTTTATAAAGCATTAGACAAACGCTTGACTAGGCTAGAGCAAAAACTCAATAAAACAAATAATGCTTTGTTATATAAAAATAATGCTTTGGAACTCCAACGGTCTTCTTAAACACCTTAGAGAGCTTGAAACAGCCATATTAGTCAAAGATGTTGATGTTTGCTTAATTAGCGAAACTCATTTTACTAACCAAACATATGTTAAACTAAAGACTTACGAAGTATACAACGCAGTCCATCCTAGTAATTGTGCTCGCAGAGGAAGTGCTATTTTAATTAAGAAATTGTTAAAATACTACGAGACTACAAAAATATCCAAAGAGGAATTTCAGGCAATTACTGTTGTCCTTGAGTTACAAAGCAAATTACTACTAACATCGATATACAGTCCTCCAAGACATTCAATTAAATCCGAACAATACAAAGATCTTATAAAAACACATAAGCATCACTTCATTATGGGTGGTGATATCAACGTTAAGCATAAGCATTGGGTCTCTCGCATAATTATAACAAAAGATAGAGAATTCCTGAAAGCTATACAGCAAACTGGCTGTGAATGCATGTCATCCAAACCTACTGGCCAACTGACGCAACAAAGGTGCCTGATCTACTCGATTTCTTTATAACTAAGCAAATTTCGTCCTACAATTTAAAAATAACACATGGAGCAGAACTAAGTTCCGACCATTCCCCTCTCTCCATAACCCTCTTTGAATCTGCCTTAATAAATACAATATGTCTAAAACTTGAAAATAAGTACACAGATTGGAGTTACTTCAGAAGAATCCCTAACGAAAACACCATCACTCGAAACGAAATTTGGGGTGAAAACAATCTTGAAAGTGAAAAAAGGAATGCAACCTATCCTCATAAATATCCAAAAGCTATTGTGGATCTTATGCGGGAAAAAAGAAATATGCGGGAAAAGTGGCAGCAATCCAGATTTCTAGCAGAAAAAACCATTCTTAACAGACTTGCAAAAGAACTCAGTCTAAAAATCAAGCAATTTAAAAATAATCAATTCAACTGCTACCTATCTAACTTAAGTAATGATCGTGCTACCAACTATTCTCTCTAGAAATGCACACGAAACCTTAAGCGACCTTTAGTACACAAAGCTCCAATTAAAAATCACGCTAATCAATGGGCTAAAAGCGATGAAGAAAAAGTGGAGGTATTTTCCGAACACCTGTCAAAAGTGTTTTCCATAGACGATTACGTTAACAATGCAGTAATCTGCCCTCCTAGGACAACAAATTCATCCTGTATTCCACCAACCACTGAGCTTTTGGTAATGAGGATTATTAAAATGAACTTAAGCTAAAAAAAACCCAAAACCCCAGGTTATAAATAGATAAGTGCTGAAGTATTAAAAGAAATTCCTACAAAATGCATAGTCAAAATTATGAATATATTTAATGCTATAATTATCATGGTCCTTAACCCAGAAAAGTATATTAATGACGTCAGTGGTAACAGACCAATAGCACTTCTACCTGTACTTTCAAAAATACTTAAAAAAATCTTACTTAAAAGAATCCTTCCTCTGATTGAAAGTCAAAACATAATTCCTTTACATCAGTTCGGTTTTAGGTGCAATCACTCCACTATAGATCAAGTCCGCAGGATTACCAATGTAATAGAAATAGCTCTTGAGGAAAAAAAAATCTGCTCAGCTGTGTTTTTAGATGTCTCGCAGGCTTTCGATAAAGTCTGGCATTCCGGATTGCTTACCAAAGTAAAAAATATTCCACCAACGGAGTATTATGACGTAATTTCCTCTTACCTATCTGACCGTTACTTTCAAGTAAAACACAGTGATGCCTATAACAAACTGCATAAAATTAACGCTGAAGTTCCACAAGGTAGTGTCTTGGGTCCCCTCTTATATCTTATTTATACATACGACCTGCCAACGAGTGCAACAACGTTC